GAGAAGGAAAGAAAGAGAAAGTGTGAGAATCAGTGATTGAGATGAATATTTATACACATATGTGATGGTGTACGCGGTGGAGCTTCAGAGCGGAAGAATATACACGCGTTTATAGCAGCTGAGGATTGGTGATTGAGAATGGCTGAGAATCAGAGCATACATGTTCAAGAATGAAGTGATTGAAATCTGTGAAGTGTAATAAAATAGTCTATATAATTGATCAGGCGCAGCCTGCCACACTCACTGAATGAATTGAGAGCACTGACTCTTAAATCTGAAGATACTAGTTGATCAAGATGAAACAGTTCATGACACTATATATACTTCTTCAGTTAGAACTGTTATTGATATCTTCGCTTTCTCTATACTAGATGAACTGTGATATACAGCAGCTCAGATAAATGAACTTCTTCAGACTCTTATTAAAGCAGTATATCAAGAAGCATTCTGATTTCTCTCAGAACTATATATAAGAACTGATATCTCAGAATATTTAATTAATAATAATAATACTCTACAATTCTGTGAATAATGCTGAGTTCTTCACTTCAAACTCTTATACACTCAGATAATACAAGAGATGCATGATTTATATATAATCAGTTATTCAGGTTATAAATAACTGTATAGAATAATCTCTTAAGAGTTCTACTAATCTGAGATATTAAATAGTATCAGATACTTCATCTGAAACTGTAATCACTGTTCTTCTATTATCTTATGAAAGAACTGTAGAAAAGATCTATTAAAATTACTTAATATCTCTGATAGAATCTGATGAGATATAGTAATTAACTTCACTATCAATCTATCTGAAAGTAAGAGTTGTAGAAATATTCTGATCATTATAAATTAACTGAGCAAAGATATAATATTGAAATCTTATAATAAGATGAATAATGAATAAATCACTGAAGCTTTTCTACAGAGTCTATTCTATCAGATACATGAATTATCAAGATTTATAGTATTAAATTAAGACTGTCAATTCATGAGTACTCTCTGAATAAGAATCTGTCAAGTTCTTAAGATTATACACTGTCTATTAACTATCTATCACTCTGAGACTGATAATATATCAGAATAGATAATTCAGACTATGAAGAATTATCTTTATAAGTTCTGTAATTACTTATAAGATAATTGATATAATCTTCTTCTACATGCAGAGATTACTATCAATAGTCAAGATACTATTTTAACAGATATAAGCTTATTATTTCTTATACATAGATACTATATAAAAGTATTAAATCTTTTAAAGATTACATAGTTCATACTGAACCTCTGCAGTCTGATTCAGATCACTGATAATATAGTAATAAAGCTCTGAGATATCTATAATTAAGCAGAGATCTTCATAATAACTGTAAAATAAGATTAAGAGAATTAAATTAATATTCACTGAGATCTCATTAAATAATATAAGATAGAAGATCTGATATGATTGAATCTTAAGAATATATAAATCACATATTCATCTTATATACTAGATTATTATCATATCAAGTATAAAGTGATAGAAGTTCTAGATAGTTATAACTACTATCTTAACATATTATTAGAAATTTATAATATATTTTATACAAGCTTACTTTACTACACTATTACTGATCTGTTCTCTTCTCAACTAACTTCTAACTGACAGTTATCAGATATTATAGAAGAAGATAATGAGCTTGAGTAAGAGATTAAGAATATTCTTAATAAGAGACTCTGTAATCACAGCTGATAATATCTTGTGAAATGAGTCAGCTACAATTAACTGATCTGAACTCTGAGTTTCATGTTATCTGAAACAGCAGCTCTTGACTGATGAGAACTGCTTCTGAAAGAAGGGACTAATGTAATGAGCTGCACCTGATCAATTATATAGACTATTTCATTACACTTCACAGATTTCAATCACTTCATTCTCAAATGCATATGCTCTGATTCTCAGCTATTCTTGATCACTGATTCTCAGCCACTACAAATACATGTATAAATATTCATCTCAATTGTCAATTCTCATACTTTCTCTTTCTTTTCTTCTCTAATATTTTTATCTTTATTACATAAGATCTATAATATTATATCAATCTATTCAGTGTAGACTTCTTACACAGAGTCTCTGTTCTTCTTTTTATAGATAATCACTTCTTTTACAAGAGTTAATCTCTATAAAAACAATCACTGTATATATAAGAGTGTATGCTCATCTCTCATCTTTTAGAGAATTAGATAAGTTTTTACTCTTATATCTAACTCTACATAGCAGTGTACACTACAATAGAATTCTTATATAAAATAATTTAATATTTATTAAATTATAATATATTTATATAAGAATTATTATTTTCAATAATATATAATACATATTTCTTAATTTATAATAAAATATTATATATTTTATTTTACTGTATTTTATTTTCTAATTGAATTCATATTTTAATTAATTTTAACTATATTATAATAATTTTGAATTATATTATACTATAAGTCTTGATATTTATAGATTACAAATTAGAAAATTAAAATAATGAATATTTATTGAGATATTAACATTTAAAGTTGATTGTAATTGATTTACAAAGGCGAGTGTTAGGTGGAAACGAGCGTTAGGTGGTTGATTACATTAATTAACTCGGCAAGATTCTACGGAGTAACTTAGTTACAATCTAGTGAACTTTCATGGAAGACTAGCACTATGCAAAATATTTGGTTATTCTTTGAGGGAAACCCTTCCTTCAAAATTCGTCCTATTACTTTTATTTTTTTTTTTTTATTTTTATTTTTTTTTATTTTATTTTTTATTTTTGTCGCCCTCTTGTTTCCAGATGTTCGCCTCGAATCTACCAACCATGGCAGTTACTAAGTGGGTCCCATACATACATACATACATACAGTCCAGTATGAGCAGGAAGTGCATACCAGTCTCGAAACGCCCCCGTATTCTGACTACAATATATTGATAACCATTATTGTAATGTCCTGATCAAGTAGCAGATGATTGCATCGGGGATGGGATATGGCCAGTCCAGTCATACGAAGATCCCCCCGGGAACTGCCTGTAAGAAAGCTAGTCCAGGCAACGGCCCAGGTAGCTACGATTTGATTGCAAAGAATGATTTCGGCTGTTCAAAATCTTCGCCGGGCACATGCAGCACCACCCAAATGCAAAACATGTGACAAGGATCGATGCTGCATCCCAATTTGGTACGCATTTATTTACCCAGGTGAAGTGCTGTACGGCATTCGGATGCATCTGGCTTCTTGACGCTTCAGCGCCGGTAGGTGACGTGAGGTAGTAGATGATCCCCCTAAAGCTAAAAAATTAGTCACCAAAGAAAAATTGGGGGGTACAATAGCGATCATTTCGTGTTTCATGTTGTAGTTATCCCTACGCAGTTAGTCTCCACGCTATCTTGTTTTCACCATCGCCTGTGGCGGTTCCTAGGCCGAGCCACAGTTGACAACGTCTCATTTCTTTGCTGAGCTCGGCGGCAGTGCATCTTTGGCAGACAGTAAGAAAAGTCTATAGAATATAATAATAATATATCATGCCACCAGTAAAACTTTGTCCTAATTCTAACCCCTGCTCTCAGGATCTCTCTTGAATCAATAGTGATCTTCTAACACATGATACTAGAGACTTGAGCAGCAAGGGAAGTCAGGGACGATTTATATTTATAGCATTAGCCACTCCTTGAGCTTAGTGCTTGGGCGAATTGCGGGTGCACAAGTTACGATTGTAGGCATTTTCCGTCTCCAAGAAACCTATAACTAACCCAAAAATCCTTCATACAAAAATGAAAAAAATGGGGGACTCAAGTTTGTTCGGACAGCGACTTGACGGCCATTCATGCTCTCTCTTTCTTCACACGGCCAATTTTTCAAGTTATGGCACTACACATGCCTCGTCTCGATGGATTTATGTACTGTACTTGGTGCCTAGTACTTAGTACATGTAACTTACTCACTGCCAACGTGTGCGGTGCTTTAGACTAATCCCACATTTACGATCAAACTCCTTTTGTCAAATCCAATATAAGCCAACGACTGGATTTTCGCTGGTGAGTTCAAACCGGCCTGATTGGCTAACGAAGCGCGCGTTTCCAGGAACATTTCCTGACAAATAAGTTAGCTATTTTAACGGCAGGCTTGACCACAACGACAAACCCCGACAACGGAATATCCATGGGATATTGGGATATTTGCGATATCCGCCAAGCAAGTGACGTGTATCCACACAAATCACTCATTGCTTTGTCAGTTTCTGATGTAATCCACAATTATTTGATGCCCAGACCTTACGAAGTGCGTGGTTTTTGCGAGTTTGCGACGCCGTCGGGATAGGGGGGTTGGGTCCCGTATATACATAAGTTCGTTATATGCCTTGATATGCATATCCCTTGATATATCTAGTCATCCATCGCCCATTCGTACCTATGGCATCCTGTTGCGATCCAAACAACGAGCGCAAAGCTTCGTCCGACTCGAAAACCGCGTCAAACCCTAGCCTAACTAGCTCATCGCTGTTTTCGTTCGTCTCACCCGTTGCATCTGCTCTCCTTCATAGCACATGCTGCTGGCTTCCGGTAAGGCCTCCCTAATTTGCTATTCTCTGTTCTCAACTGAATCAGACTCGTATGTATCTTTTGAGCTGAAGCTAATATTTACGTCCTGTTAAACAATCAAGACCCTACTTGATGCTTTTTCCATCGGCTCAGCGTCCGCATCCCAATTTCAATCCCTCCGACCTTTCTTCTTCTGGGTTACGCTTCTTATCCTCGCCGAAGGCATACGACGAAACGGCTTAGACCGCCGCACTTTCTACCGTATTGCCATATCCGGGCTCTTCCTAGCGTTGCCGCGACTTTCAAATCTCGCGAAACAAGTCGCAAATCCAGAGGCAACTCACCATCGCTGCCATTAATCACTGAAACACCATATATTCATCCCACTATTCTCTCCCTTATATATATTGGCATATGTGGACTCTAAGGCACTCGAGTAGGATGAGGGTCACCCGTGGGATAATATTTCGGGGGCCAGTTTTGCGTTGCGAACAAGTTGCTAAGCGACGTGTTACTTGGGCGAAGGGTGTCTATAATTTCAGATCAAAACATACCCTTCCCAACGTATCGCCGGGAGTGGAAAAGTCTTCATCTGACACTAACCGCCAATGTCAGACCTCGCCGCCGACTATCCCCTCATCTCCGCTTAGCTTATCCTTTTGGAAATCGCCTCCCATTTGGAAAAGAGCCATGCTCAACACACTGCGCTGCTTAATTGGGTGTACAATCGGCGACTTCTCCGCCATGTGGTTCTTACAGGCGTACTACCCGGATTTAAGCGTCGGATACATCATGGGAGTAGCTAGTAAGTCTTGTGATTTCATTTTATTTTCTTTTCCCTAACACGATGGATCTCGTCGTAGCATGCTAATCAGCTTCCATCAGTGGCGAGTGGCATTGCAAGTTCTATGACCCTTGAAACCGTTTTGCTTCACCTTGGACGTGATAAATTGGGCTGGGCGCAGGCTTTCAAAACGGCTGCAGGGATGAGTACGATCTCAATGCTTAGCATGGAGGCAGTCCAGAATACAGTGGACTACCATTTGACCGGTGGAGTGGTCGCTCTCTCTGACCCTTATTTCTGGGGTGCTGCTGGTGTGTCTATGGCCGCAGGCTTCCTTGCGCCGCTCCCATATAACTATATCAGGCTACAAAAATATGGGAAAGCGTGCCATTAGTTGGATTAGATGTGTCGCTGTTCCGTTGAGCTGAGCTCGGGTATGTGTGGTTTATTGGTCCCTTCGTGTATTTCTATATATCTCCCAAATTGGATTACGCTTCTCATTTTATTTCCCTCTCTCTGTCCCCTCTTCGCTGTCTTTTAAGAGGTATGTTCTATATTATAGATTGATCTCGAAGCCTATGCAATATTAATTATTTGAGAGATGAGATTCCAGTACTCAGAGCAATGCATGATGCCACATGAATTTCCAAGGGAAAACCACACACATGAGTTCTCCTAGTTAGCGTTCAAGGAGTTGGATGATAGAAGAATGGCATAAAAGAGCCAACTAAGGCTAGCTTTGAGATCTATGGTAAATAACTACCATCATCTGTTCGATTTGTTGAGTGGTGTCTTCTTAGCTGAACATAGTAAGTTTCGTCCTTCTACATCCATGTCATTCCTTCTCAAGACTAATAATAAATAGCGGAAAGATACGCCATTTCAATTAGAGATTATTTTACGCATTGATGATTTTTCACATAACACAATACTTACTATATTTAAAAAATGAAAGGGGTTTTCAGTTAACTATTCTAGAGAGTAACTACTCTATAATTCTTATCTTTAACATAACTATGTGTTAAGTATTGAGTGTTTTGAGATAGTGAGAAGCTCTAGTGTGTATGTATTTTAGATGGGATGCTTTTCCTTTTCTAACCATGCTCAGCTTTTCTACGACAGCCTATACAGAGAATGAGTCAGATGTGTATTTTATATATTTTATACTAGTAAGTTATTACAATGAGCATGCATTGATGATAATGATATTGTAGGCTACTGGGGCAAAAGAGCTCAGTCACCACCAGCGCACTGCTGGTAGAAGGGCCGATCAACCCGGGACCCCCAACAGATATGCTGTATCTGTGAAGGCCAAGACAGACTAAACTTTATATAGTCATACACCAACTATATTGGGACTAGTGCAATTGATAGTTAACTACATGTTATGCTCCACCAGTTCTTTTTCTTTTTAGGCCTCCGAGTCTGAAATTTTGAGCGTTCATTTCGAAACTACCCCAATGCTGGTCTAGGGTCTAGCATGATTTTTTTGAAGCCACCTAAATCGTGGAAACACTTTTTTTTGAACCCAAGCATCTAAAGATACACAATGTCATCACTGATCGCCCGATTCATTCTGGAGATGAGGTAATTCTTGAAACATCTAATCCGATTAATCTACCTTTACCAAACATAAGGCTGCTAGATATGCAATGGGTCTTGCAGCGTCTCATGGCACTGAGTGGTGCGGCCGAGGCTGACGACGATGATCTGGATGATGATGAGTGTGTAGACCCTGTGGGAATTGAGAGCGATGATGGATCTGAATTAGTGATGACAAGTTTGACTCGGTGGATATGTGGCTTTCTACCCAGCCGCGGATATTTGTTCCTTGCAAGTAGGTGCAGCAGTTCAGAGAAGATGTTTGAGCGTGTACTAGGCATGGGAAGCAATGAAAAGGCAAATTCTGATGTTCATTATTATTGTATCATAGGTGGTATTCTTCTTTCCCCAAATAGTAATGTCTAGTATCTCCATCCAAACAACAAGTTGTTTGCTATGAGTATTCTAGTATCCTCTAGAAAATTCAGTGTTCGCAGTATATTCAGAATAAGGAGACGAACTTGGAGATACATGAATTCAAACCCTTTCGATATACGGAGTACGCAGCAAGCAGACCAACTTTGCCGCAGTTTCAGTCATTATAAGGTTTTCTACAGAGTATATCGCAAGTCGATGCAGCCTCCCGATTAGTTACTTGATTACTTGTCATTCAGGGGAAATAATCCATCTCTGAAAATGTAAGTCTATAATCCACACTAAGCTTGTTAGTGCCCTCTCTCAAGTGTATTTAACCAATGTCATACGCTGCAGCCTGGAGAGGCTATGAAGTATGCCTAATAAGGCCAACTTTTCAGGGCCGTCTTCGGATTTGGATCAGCTTCACTTGATGTTTAGGTCACTCTCTGGTACGGTGGTACGCCACTCGAAAACACAATGGTGGGCCAAAGAATCAGTTTGCTACGATGCTGGACAATTGAACGACTTACTTCACAGAATCTATATCCGCAGCTGCAGCATGTTTTAGGTGTGTCACGCATTGCTTTGCTCTATCTTTGTTTCAAAACTCCAGTGAAAACTATCGCGAGACCTAAGTGATCAAAAGGGCGGCCCCATGGATTCTGGTAGTAAGAGGTAATCTCAGTTAGCAATCGGATTCGCAATCAATAAACTGTTTACTGTTACTGCCACTCGGATCAACCGCTGTCCAAAGATATCTATGTAGGAGGCACAGAAGTCTCATTTTCGATGGTCATAGCTTTCAATACCAGCCACAAAGCCAGCGGGTCATCGCAGACACCAACCCAATCCGCAATCAATAACCATATTCCATTTCTTCCTGCTAGTTGGGCTCTTCTCCCTTGAGTTACATAACTCATGCATCCGTGTAGGAGGCACGGAAAGCTTACTTTTGATTGGTCATGGCATCCACCTGTCACAAGAACTGCAACAAAACAGAAATCCATCCTGGGCAGCAACCGAACTCGGAGTCAAAAATAGTGCATGGTTGCTGCTGATTCCATGAACTCTTCTCTCTCAAACCCCTAAGAGCCAAATGTCCATGTCGGAGGCACGCTCAAATCCTCATTGCCGGTCGTTCACAGCACTCCAGGCGACGACAAGCAGCTTCAGGTAAGCATTATACCATAACATCAATATTTCCAGTATCTAGTCACTAACTATCAACCTCGGAGCGTAACAGGACACAGACCTGAATGATGTCAGTTCCAGGGATCAGAAATACATCTACATGTGCCTTTGTCGCTATTCTACAACCTAAATGGTCATCTCACTTCACACTGGACAGACCGAAATCAATTATCATGAGGAGGTAGCCAGTGGCTGCACTGTGCACAAGGCTTCACGCTGGCACAGAAAAACAACGTTCAGGTTGATAATTTCAATGTCCGGAGCTACATGTATAGATATACCCGCCACACTAGTTTTTTCTTCCCGAGTTGCCCAAGAACACTAAAAAACACTTTCGGTCTGGGATTCGGCAAACCCTGAAGACCAACGGTTTCGGATATGCACTCCAAATGGATTCGAGAGCCTTTCTTTGGTGTTGTGTGTGTTGATGATACGGAATTGAAATCAAATCCAAAGATTTTGATTCTTGAAAGTGGGCAGGTCTTTATTTCTCACAATGGCTCTCGAACGATCATCCGAAAACAGTCCCTCGGGCGCTGCATCGAAACTAGTTCTATTTTGGGCTAGCTTTGATCATTATCACATGACTGCTGATTAAGCGATAAGCGATAAGCGACAACCCCGCGCCATCCGCTAGCCAACCACCAACCCTTGACTTCTGCCAACTTTCCTACCCAGAGAAGGAGCTAAAAATTTTGGTGTCAGCTTCACTCATCATTCCTCATCACCAGATTTCTGGATTGCAACTCTGTTTGCTGATTCACCGTTGTTTCGGTGACCGCTTTTGCCAATGGCACATTTCTCCTCCCTGTTATCCACGAAGCCCGAGGCACTTGATATCTTTTTCTTTTCACCCCCTAATTCCACCATGCGCAGGAATGCGCTGATGGTTTAAATATTACACACACTTTGGGATTCTTTCTCCTTTCCGTTCTCCCATTATTTGGGTTAATGTCTTTACTTTACTGTGCGCATGGCTCCCAGACTTCGCCCGCTTCGCTCAGAACCCCGAGAACCCTCAGCGCGTCCACTTCGCTCAACTAGGAAGCGAGTTAGGACGTACCGGGAGGATAGCTGCGATAATGATTTGTCTTTCCTTGATGATACGGATAGTTATGGTTCTGATCGATTCTGCTCCTCCACTCGTCGCCGTCCGTTGACCTACCGTGAAGATTTAGCCGCTGAGCATCTTTCTGAGCAACTAGCTGATGCTGGGGCCGAAAGCGGATCCACTCCGCCATTACTACCGGGAAAAGTGACACGATCGTCATCCGCTCGTGCTAAACGCTCACTGTTTTCCAAAAACTCTCAGCAATTCCCTAAAACCCCATCGCCCAAGAAGCAGAGGCAACAGACAGATTCTGATGCAACGCGTCTAACCCCGATTGGGCCAATTCCGCCATGGCAAAAACTCCCTTATCATATCCTCCTTAATATTTTCAATCATGCCTTCTCTCCATCAACGTCTCCTGCCTTATCAGATCTCACCAAATCAGTTCGTTGGCTCCTAAGTACGTCGCGCCTGTGTCGAGAGTTTTTTGAGCCCGCCATCACAACGCTCTACTACTCGCCGCCCCTTTTTCCTCCATCCAGGTTGTCAGGCCTGGTCCATTTATTAGAACGGCCACAAGAGACCCTTTATACAAACTATAGAAACAAAATCAAGCGACTCGACATCCTGTTTCGCCACTATCACGTCCGCCATCTTGACCTCGGGCAGTTGATCGCTCTCACACCTCAACTCCAGCACCTACGGCTCCACGATGCAACACAACTTGCGATGCCCCCTCCCATGAATGTGAAGCAGCGCTTAAATACCTGGGAAAAGTTTCTAGATGCCCTAGATGCGAACAATATCCGCCTCCGCAGTTGGGCTTGGAATGGAGAATTTCTGCTGTCATCACCGCGTTTTCAGCCGCAGAAGATTGCGGCGGTCCACCGTCGCCCAGCATTTACAAACTTGCGGAGTTTACACCTCCTCAATCTACCTCCCAGCTCCTCGATAAATGACAATGCTAATGGCAATAACTCAGATGAGGACCAAGCAAAGTCGGGAGAACTTTTCGCATCTGCTCTATCATTACTCCCGGGATTGCAAGAGCTAGAATTCAATCGATGTTACAGTGTCGATGATAACCTTTTATCATATCTCGACCTAAACCTCAGATCGCTAAAGCTGGTCAACTGTGAAAATGTTACGTCTGCAAACCTTGGCACCTTTCTTGCCCGTCGCGGCCAGAGCCTCCGTGACCTGGTACTTGAACATAACCGGTATCTCAACATGTCCTTCACAGCTGACCTAGCCATGTCATGTCCGCATCTGGAAGCATTCACGCTGGACTTAAATTTTACCTCACCGGTCTCATTTACTCATGATGTCGATCCATACTTTGACGAGCTCCTTCACGACTCTGAAGTCCCTTCGTGGCCAGCCTCGTTGCAAATCCTGAAACTAGAGCGTTTGCGAAAATGGGAAATATCCACGGCCATGTTATTCTTCGACTCTTTGATCCATTCGGCACCATATTTGCCAAATTTGAGAGTCCTTCAATTGTCAGCAATCCTTGAAATCGGATGGCGTGATCGGGCGTCTTTCCGCAGGGAATGGGTCGGCAAATTAGAGAGGACATATCGCAGGTGCTCGCTACCTCCCAATCAGCGTTCTAGATCGACTCCCGAAGGCCAGACTGCTGAGGGACATACCAACCGCGCCCGTTCTAGGTCGTTTTCAAGCACCAACAAAGACTTACCAGCTCGCACCGGACCAAGGCATAGTACACGGATTGCCCAGCAACGATCTGTTGAAACCTGCGACACTGAGCGGCGGATAATCGCCAAGAAAATTTATCCTCAAGCCGATTCCGCTGGGAAGGAGGAATTCATCCACGGCATGTGTGACGTGGTAGAGATACGCGTGGACAATTTACGGCCAGCCGATAATCTTCTGACGAACGATAACTTTGAGGACGACGATACGGGTGACGAGGACTGGAGCGGACGGGATCCTGTGGAGGTGGATCGCTATGCATGGTAAACCTTGGTTGGCCAAGCGGCCACTTATATCCTGTCCTTGGAGGTATAGTTTGCTCTTTTCTTTCTCCTTTTCCTGCTTTATTCTTTTCATTCATTGATTTTCTCCTTTCTGTATCAATATGCGATCACATGGTTGGGACAATAGTCATGGCAGATATACAGGACAGGCGCAATATTTCCTTTTTCAGGAAGGCACTCTATGAGTTGATTCTTTTGTTCTCCGGGTACCAATGGAAGGACCCTGGTGTTGGGTTGGTTTGGGATGGGATACTACACAAGAAACCGACGGACTGGTCTGTCTATGGAAAACAGGGCGCCTGAAGTCATCTAATGTCGCGGATGTATTTTTTCGCCCTCTTTTAGTTCCTTTTTTTCACGTCAATTCCCCTGGTTTTCGCAATAAATATGATACAAATCCATGCTCTAAATCAAAGCATTACACACCACGGGGCACTGGTTCCGAGGGTGTTTCAGAATGTGAAGCCGTATTCAAACATGGAATGTGAATATAGACAAGCCTCCCGGCGAGCCCCCGTTCGCGGTCGAACATGGAGCTGATAGGGGTTAGAGTTTCGGGAGGTATATATATATATATTTAGTATATAGAGTGGAAATCAATTAATTTTCAGCGCAACTTTCATACTCCACAGATAAATAAACACAACAGACACAAGTGTAAGATACATTGTTTGCTGGACAAGTTAGATACCTAGGTAACCATGCATCATTGCACGTGGAAGGCGTTTTCTTCGGCACAACAGCGTGGTCTGCTTACTGTCTAAGCACTGCGAAGTTGATCTAATAAATATCCCTCCTGGTCTGCTACCAGAGGGCTTTTGTCTCCTCCTGTGTCCATCCAAGCCCCGCTTCGCAGTCCCTCGCTGTTATACATATGTAACTACAACAACACCTGAGAAAGCGCTCGATGTCCATTCCTTCGCCTACTCTCGCCCGCCGGATCTGCTACTAGTACCTGTCCTGTCCGCTCGCTCGCTGCATGTAAAGGCGGAATCGAAACGTTCTGGTGAGGGTATTGGGCCTCTCCTCTCTTCTCTTTTGCTCCTATTTACTGCTCCTACTGCTCCTACTGCTCCTACTGTGGTTGACTATGAGACTCACACTCATCCTGATACAACTCCCGCTTTCTCCCAGTCAAGCCCGACCTTTGTTTGGACACGTATCTAGCCAACCAGCAACAGCTATACTACATAGTTTCGTACTTGGGGTTACATTCCCCGTGCCTCAGTTACTACATTACATGTACGTACACTACAATAGTTCCTACGCAAAACGTATGCCTTTCTTCCCTTCGCAAATCTTGATATACCTCCTCCACCACGCGTCTCCGATATCACTTTTCCTCCGTGTTACAGCCCAATCCTTTTGATAAATGTGTTCTATGTGTACTGTACATTGGTTGCGCTGTCGATTAGTTCCCCGCAGCTACTGTCGTGGCATTGCTCTGCACGGTTCTTCCTCGCTGGCTGCTGTTGATCTAGTTACTGTACCCTGTACATGTACAGTAGTTATTTACATGGTACTTTGGTGTGCTCTGATTTGCTGCTGAATGCTCCAAACGGTGGACTTAGCAAAGTCTCGACGGATTCTAAAAGAACGCTTTTCAATCGACCTCTCTATTCTCTTGCTTTTTTATTTTTTACTTTTTATTTTATTTTATTTTATTTTATCTTTTTCCTTCATTTGCGGTTAGAACCTAAAATATTTGCTGACTTGGGTTGTGTCGATTTACATATATATATATACAGGTAGCAGAAAAAAGTCCTCCACTCAAACATGAGCGCACAATCTTCGCGCATTTTGACCCCCGCAGACAGCGGCGGGCCGTCCTCTCCTCCACCTTCGCTTCCCGAGGGCTGGTACGCATGTCTCTTTCTACCCGTCCCTCCGCGCGGTGTTGAGAGGCTCCTGCTGACAATGTCTAATTTTCTCTCATCCAAATAAGGCTTGCGCAGTGGGAAGGTGTCTCGAGAAAATGGTACTACGTACAGCGCGCAACTGGCAAATCACAATGGGAAATTCCCACCGAACCCTTTGTCCCGACGCCCTCGTCGACCCCCCAATCTGTGGCTAGCCCTGGGCCCTACCATCCGCCCCGCGTGGGTAGCATGCCAGCACAGGATACTACTGAGGCAACGAGGGAGCTGCTGAATCTTCGTGGAGCTAACTTAAGACAGTCCGGGGGAAGCTTTCTCGTACGTCACTGGGGTGCTTTTCTCTTTTCCTTTCTACCAAGGTATAGCTAACTAATGTATAAAAAATGCCTTGAAGACCACACCCTTTGATAGTTCACAGACTACTCCACAGTCAGGACAAGATTATCAACAAATTCCGTCTGCAGGAACACAAAGCACTCCGGTCGGCGGAGTCTCCAGCCAGCAGCAGCAACAGCAGCAGCAGCAACAGCAGCAGCAGCAGCAGTCCCGCTCCCCCAGCCAGGGTATCCTAGGGCAGGTTGCTTCAGATCTCGCCCACCGCGTCGCCAGCCAGAATGGGAGCGAAAACACATCAAACCAGCAGATGGTATACATCCCCCTTTTTTGTCTTCCGGTGCATCCACCAGTAAACATACTGGGTTAAAGGCTAACTTTCCCAAAGCCGGAACAGAGCCAGGTCCGATATTCCCCTGCTGGTCAAGCGAGTCCCTCATCAAACTTAAACTCTCAACACATGTCCGGATCCGCTCAGTTCCATCAAGGTGATCAAATGGACCAAGGAAACGTGCAAATGCAGGGCGTGAGCCCGAATACTGCCGCATCTTACCAGACGCAGCAAGATTCTTCGTCGACCTACCACACGGACGTCGAGATGCGAATGCATCAACCTTACACGACCCACCAAGCCGGTCCTGCCGCAAACATGGATAGCCAGTATCATTCCCAGCCAGCCAGTGGCCAACCAGCTCCGACCAACAGCTATGATGGCCAAGTACAGCATTCAAATGAACAGCTCTTAATTCAGCAAGCCCAGTCTAGCCATTACGCCTCAAGACCAGTGCAAAACCCTCAGCCGGAAGAAAACCTCATCACCATCATCCACCCAGATCCAAACGCGCCTCCTTTATTCCCCACACCCTATCGAGGCGGCCCACGTCAATCACATGGCTCACGATTGAGCATGACAACGACACCCCCGAGGAACTATCCATCACACCCAGCACCCCACTACAACCCACATCCCTCCATGGGCCAGCCGCAGTACAATCCTCACTATTCCGGTGGACACCCTGGGGTACCCCCTAACTCCCATTCCCCGCCGGTAGGCATGCCCCGCAGCCAACAGCCCCCATACCCGCCGGAGGGGATGTATCACCAGAGCATGGGCCCTCCTTCCCAAAGCCACAATATGTACGGGGCCCACCAAGGCCAGCCGAACTACGCATACGACGTGAGAGTTAATCCGCCATATAGTCAAATGCCGCCACAGAACATGCACGATGATCGTGGAATGCAACGACAGACTAGTCAGGTCAGTGGACAGCCTTGGCATGGGCATCCTGGATCAGCACCCTCTCCTCCAGACATGCATGGGGGCCAACGATATCCGCCAGCACATTCTCAGCAACACTACGGAGGTGGCTATGGCAGGTAGGTTCGGAGGTTAGTGAGTAAACGGGCGAGAACCTCAAAAAATGTTTTATGATCTACGAACGAATTTTGCATTCATTCGCTATTTATAATGACTTCCCCGTCGAATGATATGCTCCCTTCTTGTATGGCCTTGATGACTGGACGAATTTTTTTCCATATTTCTTTCCTCCCCCTAACCCCCACCCCATTCTCTTTTTCTTTTGGACTTTTTCAATCTTGGAACTTTGCCTTGCGCATTTTTTTAGGCTGATGTAGGCGAACGTAGGGTTGATTGGTTGGCGGTTAGTTACACTTAAAACTGAAAAGAATATACTAAATAGATTCTTGGACAGATGTGCAGATAGATTTAATGAGGAGCTCAAACTGATTTCAAACATGTTCCATGCAGCCATTTTAACTAGTCCACGAATCACATATCACGTGCCGTAGACCAAGGCAATCAAAAGGCGGTGAGTCCCGAGTTTCTTAAGCTTTTCATTAAAAAAAGATTCTGCCGCGAAAAATATTAATCGCGAGGAGACATATCCAATCTCGATGAACTGGGCGAGTTTGTGTATTCCGTCTCATTGACAATCCTTCTTTTCATTTGAATTTTAGTTGTATAAGGCCCTTTTTTCACAATGTCTTCCGTATACAAGTCCCTGTCCAAAAAGAAAAACCAAGCATCCGTCACCCGCGAGGATATGGAGGACGCCGATGTCTCCATGCACGATCTGTCAGATGACCTGGATGAGACAAGCGATAGCGATGACTACGAAGATGAGGATGAACAGAATGAGCAGAATGGGTTTGAAGGTGGTGTAGCGACTAAGTCGCAATCGTTACCATCAGGATTCATGCCTAAAACTCGAGTGCTTATGCTAACTTCGAGAGGAGTTACACATCGGTATGTGAAAGAAATACTCGCCATGCTGAACCGTTGTATCTCATTTCCACGCAGCTGTAGCTATGGCTGCAGTCTAAACATGATCCATGTACCAGTGCAAAATAAAGCTAATAGAATAAATTCACCACCAGGCACCGCCACCTTCTCTCAGACCTCACCTCCCTCCTCCCACACACACACAAAGAGAGCAAGCTCGACACTAAAAAGAAAACGGCCGGCTACAATTTCCTCCTCAACTCTCTTGCAGACCTCCACTCGTGCAACGTAATCTTCTTCCTCGAAGCCAAGAAGCGCGGCCAGGACCTCTACCTCTGGCTCTCACGACCACCAAATGGCCCCACCATAAAATTCTCCGTGAGCAGTCTTCACACGATGGGCGAGATGGGAACCGGGTTCTCTGGCAACTGCCTCAAAGGCGGACGCGGGGTGGTTGTGTTTGATAAGACATTCGACGAGGCGGCTGTGATGCGGAGTGGGAATGAATACAGGGGTCTCGTACGAGAGATGTTGCGGAGTGTATTCAGCGTACCGAAACGCGGGGTGCGGGGCATGAAGCCGTTCATAGATCGGATCATCGGCGTGTTTGGCGTTGACGGGAAAATATGGATACGGGTGTTTGAGATTCGCGAGTCGGAGGGCGGGGCTGTTGCTGCCACGAAGACAAAAGATGGCGAAGCTGAGGAAGATGATGCGGAGAAAGCAAAGCCGAAGCCCAAGCGAGGTGGCAAGGGTGGTGCTCCCGATATCACTCTGGTCGAGATCGGCCCGCGCTTCGTACTGACGCCCATTGTGATACTGGAGGGAAGTTTCGGGGGGCCCGTCATCTACGAAAATAAGGAGTTCGTCAGTCCCAACCAGGTGCGTCGGGAAATACGGCTACGGAAGGCGTCCCGGTTCGCGACAAGGCAAGTTAGGCAGACCGATAGAACGGTCAAGAAGAGTGGACTAGGGCTTACGACGGAAGGGCGGGGAAATAGGAGGCGGGATCCTTTGGAGACGAAGGAAGTGTTTGGATGATTTATGGATTAGCGGAGGTATGATTTTGTCCAATTGTTAGAGCTATTTGCGTTCATATATTTCTTGCGTCCTTCATTTTCCTTCGTTTTCCTTTAGTCCTGGTGATCAGGCGGGTGGGAATGTGTTATCTTATATATATAGACATCAGTGCCACTTGTCCTTAATATTTGGGCTATTTACAATGAAAAATGTGGCCTGCCAGAAACCAAAGAGTGTCTGGAACAAAATAATCCTTGAATTTGGCGTTTAGATTCCCAATAGCCCCCGAACTTTTTGCAAGAAAGCCTATGATATAAAGTTAAAGTATTAATAAGTCACACAATTTTGTAATCCGGATCCAATCCAGACCGATGGTATAACCCTGATTACGGGGAATTTGGATTTCTAATATATTTAACTGCTAGAGTGTTGCAAGAACCCACAACATCAAACAACAACAATAATTCTTGAATATAGATGTATTCGGTAGAAAATTCATTCTAATGTACACACGTTAATGCCCATAGATAAGGCATCCCTCTGCATTTTTTACAGCCCGGTTAAAAAGAAGGTTCACATTTTGTATTCAACCGCTCAGTATCAGCTTCTGGCTTCGCACCCATTGATTCAATCTCCTGGAGGTGGAAGCTCTAGTTAAACCCTCTGTAGTTCTGCCCTCTCACATCACGTCTCATCCAACTCTCTAATAAGTTTTCAATCTCAACCTCAGCTATAATAACAAGGTGAAACGCCCATTGACTCTTGTTCAATACTCCCACATTAACCCGCCCCCCCGCCCCTACCCCAAATTTACCAACCACGACTAAACTCCAATCATAAGCTACTCACACGCAAATCCCTCCACAATCAGCTCCCCCATAGTTTGGATCGCATGTATCCCTTGGGTCATCGTAACACTTCTTCCCTCGGGGGCATTGGATGCCAGCAAACCCGCCACAGAACCGAGGTTTAATGCAGATGCCAGAAATATCGCAAGCCATACCACAACCGGGCTTGCGCGGGTCGTCGATGCAGATGAAGTCCAAGGGGCAGGGCTTGGGATTTATGCCATGGTCGCCGCAAGGCTGGTATTGTCGCGGCGGGGTACGGTATGCGGAGACGGCGGCGAGCAGGAAGGCAAGAATGGCGATCGGGCTCATCTTGGAGGCGTTTCTTTTATCTTTCTTTTTTATGTGTTCTCAGTTGAATCCTCGCAAGAAGCTAAAACTGACAGGTTGTGGAAGAGATTGTCCCTGGAAATGGAGAGGCCAATTTGACGAAGCTTGTTCAATCAGCTAGGGAAAAAAGGGGCTGGGCCAAAGAGAGCATTAAAGATGTCGATATGTCGAGATTTGAACTGGGCAAGCAAGGCAGGGCCGGAAGCATACCATGAGTATTTATATTTTCCTATCTTTTATGGTAGAATGCACAGCCCAGTATAGATTTCCCGAGTCATTCACCATTTCAAAGTTTGCAGCATTGCATGTGTGGGAAAGACAAATAAATTGTAGTTAGGATGTAAATGAAGAGAGAGGCGCAATATGCCCAGAAGGGCGGATTGGATCATATTCGAAAGGCTGCTCGACGATAACATTCTCAACACTTTAGCTAGCCGTATCAGCCAGTTATATAAACCTTTGCAAAAATGGAACTTGCAAGTTACCCTGTGCTCCGCCACTCGTCCCACGTCTCGAGATCTCAATCTCACCTGCATGAGGGGGATAATATGCGCCACTGATAGCTTCTCCAATCTTTATCCATCTTTCTTCTCCCCTTTCTTACAAATCGCATTCTCAATCATACCCCAACCCCCAGAAATCATTTCCTTGCTTGAAGGCAAATCCTCGGACTAACGATGTCCTAGGTCTGGACTATACATCCGTCGGATCATCAAAGCATTGCTTGGGTGGAGGGCACGGAATGCCACCAAGGCCGCCACAGAACTCAAGATCGTTGAAGGCTCCCCCGCCCTTATTTGATGGGCGAAACGAGGGTTTGCTGAGAAAAATGTGAGGAAGAGGCCAAGTAGGCCGAGGGACGCTGCTTGAGGGGATATGCCATCTTCGGATGTAATATGGGTTGTTTGTTCAGCTAGGAACAGTAAAACGAGCATGTTTCAAAGAGATGTAGACAGGAGGCTGGAATGAAGAGAATTCCGCAAATGTCTTTCTTTAGTATGTTGGAGTGATCCAGTAGAGCAAAATCCCGAAACTGGGCGATGCAGTGGGTGTTTATCTTTGTTCTGAAATGAAAGAATGCCACGTATTCCCGGTCCAATACGGCGGAAGGGTCAAATCTCTAGGTCGTATGTAAAATTTATATCCATCAGCCGCCTCCGAATGTGTGAAGAAGCCGACTCAATCAATAGAATAGACTGGCCAGCACCCTCTCGCGAAATCTAGACACAGAATGCACAATGCAGCCAATAGAAAAATCTTCAAGGTAGGGTAGGCCAAAGGATGACACAGAAGCAAAAGAAAAATAATAAACTAAGGGGAACCAGATCAGATGAGATCTGCTAAAATGTCAGGCATGCAAATTCATCATGGAGGTACTACCTGTTGCCAAATCTCTTTTCTAACAGATCGGAATGGACTCGCCCTGGCAGGGCAGATGAAATGTTTATTTAAGTTATTTAGCTAAAATATGAGCAGAGCTGCGGTGGATTTTTCTGTTCTGGTGGCTTCGTCCAACCATACGCGAATGATTAACGAGAGTCTCAGATAGAGACTATTCTAGGTTTGTATCTCATGGAGCGCTCCGTTCTGCATTGCAATCAATCAGTTCGTGGATATTCTTTTTCGGTGGAAATTTTAGGTATATATACTAACATGGTGTGAAAAAGGAGTTTCAGAAGCAATGAGGTCTCATGCGGGCGGGAGATGTGGTTAAGCCCGCGGGGCGTGAAATTTGTAGGAAGCGAGAAGAACAGCCGCAGCTCTGGATATCTGATGAGCAGCGTCAAATGTGAGGCTTCAACTACCGGGGGTAAGGTAAGTGTATCATCAAAGACTTTACGCTGCGTAAATGGGCTTGAAGCCAACCCGAAGGATGTAAAGGGCAGCGTGAAGAACTGGAATGAAACCCGGCCACTTGTTGACTTTACTTGGAGTATTTACCTCCTAATGGTTAATGGGCTGCCTAGCATCAGTGCATCACGGGAGCAAGGGGTGAAGTGAAGGTGAGCTATTTGCGACCTTCCATATGTCAAAGGAAATCTTCCGAATTTAAACATAAAACCGTTCTTGTCAACTATAAATTCGCATGAACACTCAATGACACGTCTTGAAAGCCACTTCAGCTGATGGTGTCTGTAGCATTCAACGAACACTGCCTGTTCAAGAAATTCCCCCTCCAGGGGTAGTTGGCCACCGTTGGCTCTCTCTTGGCGGACTCGCATCTACCATTTCCGACTTTACCAGCCTGTCTGATCTCCAATGAGTAGATATATACCTATATATATATATATATTTATCGGGCGTATTTGGGACTCATTCGAAATGCGCATCGGTCAAAAAAAATTGCCGCTCAGCCGCGTATAAAAGATTGGAGGTTGGAGAGAGATTGGAACCAGGGGTGTTTATACTTAGCTCGTGCCATGCGCACGAATCTGAGTACCAGTCACACAGCTATGCAAAGGAATCGTAATATGCAATAACGCTATGTAAGGCGTCAGAATGCCAATATTAATGGAATACATATCCGATAATGGGAGCCGAGGGGAACAGGGAAAGAGGGACATGAACATTCGAGCAGATAGTAAGTAACAGGCCACGCAGCCTCCTCAGCCTCCTTCTCCCTCCTCCCTCTCGTTCCTCCATCAACCCTCTGCGCAAGCCGTCTAATGACTCATATTTCCTTTTTCCCCGACTCACTACGCTGCCTAAGCTGATTCTCCCGATCTCTTTTGTTTTTCTTAGACAAGCCCGCAACACCCTCAAATCCAGTCCACACAAACGAAGAGATAACCCAAGCTATCCCCGCAAGAATAAGAATATACACAGTAGTAGGCAACAATGATTTCGGAAAAAGGTGAAAAAGATAAGGGTCGAGAATGACATCGACATGTACGGGGGGCACATTCTCCATCAAGCCCTTGTCCACTGTGAAGTAGTCAGCAGCAGCGTGGACTTGTAGGAATAAAGCGGATGTTGAAGCCCTGTTACTAGCGTCCTGTCTCGATGAGTGGCCCAGTTTGGGCGGCAGGGCGAAAGGGTTGCTGGGCGGGTGTTCGTCGGCGGCCAAGTGCTGCTGTTGGTTGTGTCGGTAGTCTTTGTCAAGTCGTTCAAGGAGCGTTGGGAGGTGTGAGGCGGAGAATGTAGTTAGGCTGGAAATTAGGGAAGGGGAGTCGAGGATTTCGGAGACGGTGTAGGTTGTTAGAGTGAAAGATGTAGGTTGCTTGAGTTCAATTCAATTTTTCACTTGTTTTTAGTTTTTGGGTCAAGAGTTTGGGATCGTTATGGGGTTTAAATATAATTGGAAAAAGCCTTACAGTTGCGAGGTAGCAAACGCGAACTTCATATCGCTGGCCAGGTTTCAGAGAGTCAAGGTAAAACCAGTTTTCAAATCCCTTGGGAGCCTCTTCCGACGGAAATGAAGCTAAGGCATATGTTCTGATAGATGGTGCCTGTGGGGATAATCGTTCTATCTCTAGGTCATCAAATAGGTCCTGATACGACTGCAGCGGGCTAGGCTTGGGTGCCGTGAATATAGTTTTCTCCACATTGGCAAACACAACGCCGGCTAGAAGGAGGGCCAGGCAGAAAAGGGGCTTCATGGCTTTTGAGTGGATCGTGGATCGTGAATGATGCCGAGCTAGCGAGGGCATAAATCCTTGGGCGCTGGAGCTCGATAAATAGCAGTCTATCAGCCAAGCAAAAAGTCATAATGGTATATCTAGATGATATGTGTAACTCTTGGGAACCTGCATAGCATAATTTAGTGTTTAAATTTAATTAACGGATCAATCACTCCGAAATATGAAGAATCAAATATAAAAGGAGAGCTGCAAAAATCTATTGTCATCTCACATGGGGGTAGACTGTGTAACACGAAAAAGGAACCTAGTTTCGAAAAATAAGAAAGAAACAAGACCCAGCAAACGGGAATGCGCTCGGACTAAAAACATAATGAAAGTATCCTCTTCAAAGATAGCCACGGATTTCTTAGGGTAAACGGAGAGAATAGGGCCATAAGATATTGTTTGGCCCATTTATCAGAGTTGCTGCAGCCAGGATACATTTCAAAGAGAAGCAGAAATAAATACATACCAATTAATTAATATAGCTATATCATTCGCGGAAACTCAGTCGAGAGTAGGGTCCAACGTACATTCATTGAAAAAAAAAAACCCTGTCACATCTATGTAGACAGGAGAGCGGTGTTTAATCATGGAGATAGATATTTGTTGAAGATGGATGTGAGTGATGTGATGTAGTTGACTGCGAGGGTATGAGGTCACCCGTTCTCATGGATGGTTTCTTTTGAAGAAAATATCATGTGACATTGCGCTAATTTGGGCTGACTAATCCAGACCTGGATGGATGGATGGAAGCACAAGAAAACAGGATGGATGGCTGCGTGTGCTCCCTTCGCCCTCTGTCGTATTTCTATCTATTTATCTATCTATCTATCGATTTCGGACTGAAAAGAGATATCTGGAGGCAAAACAACCCATCACCACATGGGTGACCAACAATTGGGAAAAAGCAAAAATAAATAAAAAATACAAAAAACAAATAACAAAATAACAAAATAACGCGTACCACTGTAAAACAACACACGAACCAAAGTGACAGTACTGTGATGGAAGGCAGTGATTGGCCAGTAATACTAGGTAGCTTCCTCACCCCAACAAACCCCAGCTCCAGACGCCGTCTTTCGCCACAGGACCGGTGCTATCTCTGTATTATTGTGTATTTCAGGATTACCAGTTGTAACGCCACCGTTGTCCGAAAGAAAACATAAAAAAAAGAAAAATACCTCGCCCAACAACAGAAAAGAACAGAAAGACTCGAGATCTTCTGCTCCCAGCTCAATCCCCCCCGTTCCCCCATCCTTATTATTTACTTCCCGTTGTCTACCCTCACCTCAGGTAATTGCCCCCTATTCAGCTATCTCCCCGCTGCATCTTACATCTCTTTCTCACAAAGACAAAACTCCACTCTGACTCAGGTGCAGCAGCTCCAAGTTTTGTTGATATCGGAGCTTCGTGACCGCCCTCCCCATTTCTACGTTGGGCAACATCTCTCCGCCCAATCTTCATCATTTAGCACAACATACCGAATCCTCCACCACAGCCATCCACCATGAGAGAGGTAGTTAGTTTGAACGGTACGTCGGTCCTTGTTGCTACAGTTTTATCTGTATATTTATTCATTTAGCTATAGTCCTTGCTGCTGATATCAACGTGCTGTAAACAGTCGGCCAGGCGGGTTGCCAAATCGCAAACTCCTGTTGGGAAGTACGACTTCACCACTCCATATCACTCGTACTTTTTATTATATCTTTATGCGGTCAAATTCACACGACCAATATAAATCGCCAACGATGCTAATGTCTTCAACTGTGTTGCTTTTATAGCTGTATTGCCTGGAACATGGCATTCAGGTAAAACTTATGCCCCTCTTCCTGGCTCGTTGCAGTTTGATGGACTTTTGTTCCCTGACATCTACTCGGGATGTGAGACTAATTTGACTCGTCCTCATTTGATAGCCCGATGGATACCTGACTGAAGAAAGAAAAGCTGCCGACCCTGATCAAGGATTTAATACTTTCTTTTCTGAAACAGGTTCGACAGCCCTCTTCCAACAAAGTGCCGATGGATACATATGGATTTTTGATTTGATTTCGGGAAACTTACATGTACATATCGCCCCCCCTATCTAGGCCAGGGAAAATATGTTCCCCGAACCATCTACTGCGATCTTGAGCCAAATGTCGTCGACGAAGTCCGCACCGGTCCGTACCGTGCGCTTTTCCACCCAGAACAGATGATCACTGGAAAGGAGGATGCATCCAACAACTATGCTCGCGGCCATTATACCGTGGGTAAGGAGATGATTGATCAGGTTCTGGACAAAGTCCGCCGTGTGGCAGATAACTGCGGCGGTCTTCAGGGCTTTTTGGTCTTCCATTCCTTTGGAGGCGGAACGGGATCCGGCTTTGGTGCACTTCTTATGGAGCGTCTGTCCGTGGACTACGGCAAGAAGACAAAGCTGGAATTCTGCGTCTACCCTGCCCCCCAGAACGCCACTTCCGTTGTCGAACCGTACAACTCGATCCTCACAACGCACACGACTCTGGAACATTCAGACTGCAGTTTCATGGTGGATAATGAGGCAATCTACGACATTTGCCGCCGGAACTTGGGTATCGAGAGACCAAGCTATGACAACCTGAACCGCCTCATGGCTCAAGGTCGGTTTCCTTCCATCGGATCATATATGGTTTTCTAACCTCTCAATTGTTTGACAACTAATAAAACCCGAATATCTAGTCGTTTCCTCAATTACTGCATCTCTCCGATTCGATGGCTCCTTAAACGTCGATCTGAACGAGTTCCAGACCAACTTGGTGCCCTATCCTCGTATCCACTTCCCACTCGTTGCGTATGCCCCAGTCGTGTCTGCTGCAAAGGCGTCTCATGAGTCCAACTCCGTCATGGAGGTAACCATGTCTTGCTTTGAACCTAATAACCAGATGGTCAAGTGCGACCCCCGCAACGGCAAATATATGGCGACTTGTCTTCTGTACCGTGGAGATGTTGTACCCAAGGATGTACATAGTGCCGTGGCGACATTGAAGACGAAGAGTACAATCCAATTCGTTGACTGGTGCCCTACCGGTTTCAAGATTGGTATCTGCTACCAGCCTCCCCAGATGGTGCCTAATGGCGACCTCGCTAAAGTCAACCGCGCTGTGTACCCCCCCCCCCCCCCCCCTCCCCAAGACATTTCACTGGATCACCAGAACACAGAATAATACAGCAGCGGCTAATATATGATTGATATACTGTACAGCTGCATGTTGTCCAACACAACCGCCATTGCCGAAGCCTGGTCTGCGCTCTCTCACAAGTTCGACCTCATGTATTCCAAGCGCGCATTTGTCCACTGGTATGTGGGCGAGGGTATGGAAGAGGGTGAATTCTCTGAGGCTCGTGAGGACCTTGCCGCGTTGGAACGGGACTATGAGGAAGTTGCCAGCGATTCTTTAGAAGAGGAGGTTGAGCCTGAATACTAAACGTATTCACTCGATATCAAATACGTGACGGTGGCTCGCTCTTGTGCGTGTAACGTGGCTGTTATTTATTATACCCCAGACCTCTCCCTCCCCTAAACCCATAATCGACGGCTTCCCCTGGAAGTTCCACTCCATCCATGCCTGGCTAAATTTTCAGTCGTTTGCAATCCTTCCGGAACAAAATGTTTTCTCTTTTAAGACTCTGTAGAGCTGAAGGCAACTGAACCGGCGTTTTTTCCCACTCATGTTTGGCACAGACAGGACATGGACCATAACTACCTGGCGTAAAGAACTTATGTGCTATCTTGTTCCTAATATATATGCCTGCCCATTCTACTCGAGGAACATGACCACAGGAGCTACTGACTGACACCCTTCTGTCTAGACGCACAAACATCCGCGCACATCCAGACAAGACTATTCTATATGTTTCAATTCACCTTCATTTCTTTAATCATGACCCCAAGGACCGGAAACCAATAGGAGATGTGTCGCTCATCCCAGCGCATGCTAGGTCGGGCTGGGTTGGGCTGGGTTGGCTAGTCTTTTGTCGATAATTGATTAATTTCTCCCGCTTATATAGGTATCTACACTGCCCTACATAGTAATAATTAACACTCCTTTTGCGCTTCTGTTTGAAATCCAACTTTTCCTTCCACAATCGTAAGCCTTAAATACAGTACCTAGGGACTCCTTGATGCTGCATTAGTGCCGAAGCCCGCGCTGCTTTTCCTCCTGCTGACTCAGCCATGCCTCTCCTGAGGCCTCACCTTCTCACCATTCCATCCTCACCTACAGCAATCACCCCCTCAGTCTCTCCACCAGTCACCCCAAACTCATCTTTCAATATGTCTTCTCAATTTTTGTCAAGTCTACGCGATGAAACCACTCAGTGGGCAAAACAGTGAGGATGGCAGTTACAGACATCTTGTCCACCTCACAGTTTCCATCTTCTCTTTTGTTCCTCTCATCCACTGCTGTATTTCTACTGAATTACCTTGTACTGAATTACCTTCTACTGGAGATATCTGTTACTCATGATCTTTCCATGATCTTCTGTTTCTGTTTCTTTTCTTTTCTCTATCCATAGCATCTATCTTTTCTCTGGGCTCTTTTGTGTTCCTGATTCTGAATTCCTCACAATGCCTCTAAAGATAATCAAGGAAGAGTGTGAGTACAGATTGCAGGCTGGAGGTGACCTGCCCGATAGGCTCAAGTTAGCTGGGAAGCGAGTTCTGCAGGACCTTGACCCTTACACAGAGAAGAAGTAGAGGGAGAGACACTTGGAATATTTGGGAGTAGTGAGTCCCATCCCCACTGATATCCTCACTCAGTTATTGCAAAAGGCACAAAGATCATGCATGACCTTGAACATGAGCAGATCAAGCAGTATTTCATCATATTCCTCACAAGACATAAGCATCTTCAGCTGATCTGATACCCACAATTACTTTCCCATCTAATGACAGCGCTTAAGATGTCAACTCATGGTGGGATAGCCATTGCGAACTTGAATTCCTCATAAATTTTGTTTTTCTGCTGCCATTTCCCTTGGATTCTTCGGAGATGGAGACGATTTTCCAGAGATTGACTCGGCAATCATAAAGACAGATCACTTGTCCAGCCTAGGATCTGTTCAATATGTGGCTGGATAGTTTCTTTGTAGTCATAAAGACATTCTCTTCGATTAACAAATGTCTTTGATTGAGTTCACTATTGGTCGGAATACATCTGTGGCCCAGTATTTATTTTCCCGGTCTTAAATTGTATCAATCACAACTCTCACATTCTTTTGTTTCATCACCCTCGCTTCCACGGAGTAGCATCCTCTATCTATTGATAATCACCCATGTGTCTGAATATGGATGTGGGTGAATTTTCCGAAGTAGGATGGCACTGCACGGCAACTAGAGCCTCGTTCAAAAGGAGCATGGAGCCCATCTGATAGGTGCAAAAGGGAAGAGGAAAGAAAGATGAGATCATGCTTGACATACATATCATTGATGTAACACTAATAATGAAAAAAAGTATTATATCCCGCCCAACCCTCTCTAGCAGAAACATGTCCGTCCTCCTGTTTCCTTTCACCTGCAACCACGCTCCTGTCATACGAGCACGGGATGGGTTCTTTAAAGTTCAAGAAAATATCTTCATTGGCTCTGTGTTCAGTCAAGCAGTTTTCACGGTACTTTGTGTGAGTCGACTAACACACGACTCGTGGTGACTGCCTCAAATCATGAAGCACGAAGTCAGATTTTACTAGACAAACTGTCGCTGGAGTAACTATCTCCCTAGATCACGTGATCCACTACTATATTAAACTGTTGTAGATAGCTGTAACGTGGCGGAACCGAAGCGGTGACTAGTCGGCGGTGTCATGTAGTTGTTTGAGGAGCCGTATGAATGGGCTTGACTATCTTGCTTGAATAGTGAGCTTGTGGGCTACAGGGTTATTGCAAGGATATCACAGATATAGTACTTAGTATGCTAAGAAGATTGTATGAGAAATGTAGTAACTCTTATATATATTTCAGTAGAAGAAAATGAATCACTGACTTCTTTAATCAGAAGCCAGCATCTAGCTATTCTATATAGATAATAAGTGAATACTCTTCTTCTATTCTACAAGTAAGAATAGCTGAAGTGATATCTCAGTGATATCTTACTACTAGAAAAGAGTAATCTGTCAATCTTATATAAAAGCAGAGTTCTTATATTTATTAATCAGATCTTTCTATATTATATCTGAATAATATTATAAAGTAATTGAAAACTGGTTTGAATAGTCTGTGAAATGAATGAAATTATTCATATAAAAGTAATAAGCTGTGTGAAACTGTAATAAGATCTTAGTTATTATTATTATTATTATTCTTCAATTATAGATGTATACAGTCAGAGACTATGATATCTACCTGAGAACTAAAAGTTCTCAGAGTTTTTCCTATATCTATAAAGTTAACTATTATACATTCATCAATTTCAGATATGCAAAATCAGAAAATTTCAGCTCAGAATACAAAAACTATTTATAAATTGCAGTATTTTAACATCTTCTGATACTTTGAAATCATTTAACAATATCATGACAAAAGAAAAGAGAACACAGTCTTAAAGATAGACACATTAAATAGATAGATAGAAAAGAATAGAAAGAAAAAAGTAAAGTAAAATAAAGAGAGACTGTAATAAAATAAATTATTAAAAGATAGTATATAGCTGTTTTAACAGACTATATCTGATTAATTTTCTCCTCTTTATATTCAGATATTTCTGAATTCAGTCATTTTCTTATAACTGCTTGAGTTTCTGATAGAAAGTCTATTAAGTATTTAATTCCTATCTCAGTTGAGAATAAGAATCTTATATTTAATTAATTTAGATTATACTTCTCTTTCAATCTGACTCTGAGACTATTGTATAATACACAGTGTATTACAATATACTCAGAATTCTCATTTATATTATAGAATAAGTATTCTATTAAATTAAATCTATCATCAAATCTTTATATATAAGATTTAAAATAGTTATATTCTAATTTCAGCTGTATTATAGATGAGAATATTTTCTTTTTATATTTAATTAAACAAGATTTTCACTTGAGTTTTATTTTAAATCTTGAATAATGTATACTCTTCTTTTATTTCTATCAGCTTTTATTTCACTTATTTAAACAAGATTCTTTTATTTTTCTCTTTATAAAAGATCAGAATATAATTTTTTGAATAGATCTGCTTAATTCTGAATCTTTTTTTACAGCTGAATCAGTCAATTCATTACTATGAATATTCATATGAGTAGAAACTTAGTATAGATGAATTATCAGCTTTGATATTCTTCTCTTTTGAATTTTTAAAATGAAGTTTAAGATCAGTTTAAGATTCATTTGATTATTATAAATCTAACTATTTTCAAGTCTTTTTAAAGCAGCTTGACTATCAGAGAATATTCATATCTCTTTTAAACTATTTTCTCTTTTATAAGATTTTATTTTAATAAGTTTGAAAGCTTTTACTATTATAAATAGTTCAGTGTCAAAGACTTCAGATTTACAGTCTAAATTTCAGAAATCTGAGATAAAATTAATATTATCTTCAGTATAAGCAATGTCTGTGTCTAATTTATTCAAATTCTCATTTTTTAAGTCATCTGAATAAATCAGAATAGAGTCTTTTATATTGATTGTAGAAATTCTGTTCAAATACTGTTTATATTCTTTCTCTTTAGATAGTTCATTTATTTATAAGTTTATAAGAGATTCAAGCTTTTCTCTTTATAAAGATAATTTCTCATGATCAACTTTTTCAATATTTAAAGAAGAAAATTAATTTTTAATCAGTGAGTATAGTCTGTACAGTTGAGAAGACATTTTCTTTAAAGAATTATTTTTGTGGCAGGCTGCGCCTGATCAATCATATAGACTATTCTGTTACACTTTACAGATTTCAACTGCTTCATTCTCAAACATGTACACTCTGATTCTCAGCCATTCTCAATTGCCGATCCTCAGCTGCTACAAACACGTGTATATTCTTTCACTGTGAAGCTCCACCGCGTACACCATCACATACACATATAAATATCTATCTTGATCACTGATTCTTGCACTTTCTCTTTCTTTTCCTCTCTAATGTTTTTATCTTTGTTAAATAAGATCTATTAATATAATACTAATCTATTCAGTATAGGCTTCTTATACTATAAAAATATTCATCATCTTCTTATTAGAAAATGATTATTCATATATTATCTTCTCATCAGGAATAATTACTCATCAAGAGATATTTGAACACATAATGACATGTAAGAAAGAGAAACACAGTTAAGTGAACACTGAGTTCTCAGATAGTTCTCAGATAGAAGCTTGCTCATCAGTCACTCTGACTCTGTAACAAGATCTTATGAAGAGAGTAAGACTTTACAAGAGAATATCAGTGAAAGACCTGAGAGTTCTGACACTCAGATGTATGAAATATTCATATAATTACACATTTGATAATTGATATAATCATGTCTAACAAGAATATGAAACTCTTGAATATAAGCATAGATGTAATACCACAGTGACTTCAAGCAATGTTGAAATTACAATAATAATAAATAGCTGATATGCATGCAACTCAACAACTTCAATATAAAGAGATTCAATGATTAACTCATGTGATTTCAACATCTACAGAATTGAATATAAAAGTGCTGAAAGAATGTTTAGATGCTTCTGTATATTTTGATACTTCTGATCTCACTCTCTACTCATCATGAAGAATGAATATACTTATGAAACTGAGGGTAGATAGAGATTTCATCAGTTCATTAATCAATCAAGATTAATATATCAATGAATGATTGAAGAATTACATGAAACAGAAGTTTCATTCATGAATAAAAGCATGTGAATCAGTGTTACAAATATCTGATAATATTATTAAACATCTTGATGTTCTGTTCTGAGACACTGCCATGCAATAGAAAGTATTAGATTGATTACAGAGTGTCTGACAGAGAAACACTTCTCTTATAACATTCATTTCTGATTTCAACATCAAGATTCTAGAAGCAGATAGTCAATCTTGAGAGAATTAAATGAAGATTAGCATGCTCAAGAAGATATTGACTTTTGAACTCTTACAG